ATTTAATTAAATTTAATATAAACCACAAAAATCACAAAACTTTCACTTAGCTTCGGTTATTATCACACTAAGATGCTCGTAGGCACTTTTTATAGCAACTTTTACTCAAAATTAGCACAATAAACTTTGCAAAATACAAAGACCAATCAAGGCACGATATAAGTAGAACTTCACAGCTTGACGTTTGCGTATGTACTATTAAAAACTTTAAATAAAAAATCTTAAAATTTTTTTTGATTTTTATTTTGCAAAATTTATTTTTCAAAATACATTGTTAACCTAATATAAATAGTTAGTAATCAATTTTATGAATACAAATTACAATTAACATTAATAATAAAGATATTTTTACATACATATGTGGTTGCTTAATTGCTTATTACTACTACTCCTTTGCATATAGCTGTTTTCAAAAGTTGCAAAATTTCAATAAAAAGTTAAGCGATTTTAACAGTATTATAATCAAAAGAAAAGTAATCGATTTACATTTCTTTTAATATATATTAACAGTTGCAAATCATTTGTNTACCACTTTTTCACTGCTTATATATAGCTGTTTACAAAAGTTGCAAAGTTTTTATGAAAACGTAAAGCGATTTTAACGGTGTTATAATCAAAAGAAAGGTAATCGGTTTACCTTTCTTTTGATACATATTGGATGAATGTCTTTATTCATTCTGAACGTTTGGAATAAACTTTTTTTACTTATTCTTTAGAACGTTCCTGATGATATGTTAACGTATATTTCAAACGTATTCTGTTTATTCCGGCTGTGAAATGGGATTATCCGGAATGTATAAAGAAACGCAGCCATTAAGAGTTGCAAATCATTTATGGCGGTTCAGAAAAATGAAGTTTTCTTACAACTTTGCAAAATTTGACAAGTTGGACCTACACTTTGAAGGTGCTCCAGGCGTTGAAGGTGCTGAGTGCGGAAGGTACCCATGGTGCTCCTGGCGATGAAGGAGCTGAGGATAGAAGGTACTGGTGGTGCTCCTGGCGATGAAAAAGCTGAGGGCAGAAGGTTGTAATGGTGCTCCTGGCGATGAAGATGCAAGCGTTGAAGGTGCTGATGGCGAATCCCAAACCTGTACAACAAACAAAACTATCAATTAAAATTTATAAACATATAAAAAGTCTCAATGCATACCTTAAGAATGTGACTAAGGGCCGTTTGCACCATGTCTAGTTAACGCTAACTGGAGGTACATCCTTCAGTTAAGCACATCCACTGCTTTATCGATCACATGTTATATGATGGGTGTCGATAACGTCGATAAAGATGTTTAACTGGGAGTTAGAATTAACTAGACATGGTGCAAACGGCCCTAAGTCGCTGCTGTTTTGCAATCTAAAAGAAGAAATTACATTATAATTAAATAAAATTGTTAAATACGTATCCTTACCTTCAAAATTTTCGCAAAGTAACATTTCTTCACAGTATGTAGTATACTGTCATCAAAACTCCGATGCTTCTAACTTGCTCGCTCTAACGCATAGAATTCTTATTAGAGTACGAATTCTTATCGGGTATGTAGCTCTAACAAAGGGAAATTTTTTTGATAGTTCGAACAAAAAATTTGTAAGTGTGTGGGTGAGATGACTAAAAAGTTGTGAATGTGTTTGTAAATCGTTTGAATTTCAGGGGAAAGTGGAGAGCCGTGGCTGGCAGGGTACGTTCCAAATGTACCTAAAATAATGTTATTTACCGAATGTACGTTAAAATTTAAGAAGCTGAAGAGTAGGTACAATTCAACCTAGTTTTACATCACTATCTTCCACCACTAAGGGCCGGTTGCTCAAAGCCTGATTGACACTAATCACCGATTAACATCGTTATCGACGTTTTTGGCTCCATGCAAATAACATGGTGTCGATAACGTCGATAACGATGTTTAACAGGGGATTAGTGTCAACCAGGCTTTGAGCAACCGACCCTTATTCGCTTCTTCCTCTCTTCTTGAAAATTATTCATTACACTCTCATTCTCATAATAATGTGATGTCACACCCAGTTGCTCTCCGCTCGATTGATGCAATCTAGTATTCTATCATTCTTGTATGTAAACGGCCCTTTAAGGCTCTGGCACATACAGCTTTCGTGCTGCTTTGGCGATGGTTTTGCTTTGACAGCTAAGATAAATACATACGTTTATATGGAGCTATTCACATAGGCAATGCTGACGCCAAAGCAACACGAACGCTAGTCAACTCTTGCGGTTTTGCGCGCGTCGACAGTCCCTTGATGAAATCAATCACTTTTTGCTAATAACCACACAAAATCATGCAAAGAAAAAACGTATAAGGACCGCGACGACCAAAATGCTTCTATTTTAAAAATATCTGAATGTTTTTTAATTGTAAAATTCAAATTCGAAAACTAAACACATAAGCTGTCAGAGCATTCATTGTAGCACACGCTTGCGCTACTTGCGTTGCTGTCAAAATGAAGCAACGCCAAAGCGACGCGACGGCTGTATGTTAAGGCCCGTCCACATACAACTTTGGCGTTGTGTTGGCGCTGGCGTTGCTTTAACAGCAGTGCGAGTAACGCCGGTGCTTGCCACAATGAACGCTTAGCAGAGAATACTTTGGTCACTAAATTAACATACTTGTAGAGGCACCCTGTGCCTTATGTTCCATTTCTACACTTACCATTTCTACATTGTGATTGGCTCATACATATATTAGTAGCGAGTTCTTGCATTTACTAATACATGCATACATAACATACATAATTTACCTATTTCGCTATCATCTGCATATACATTTTTACCAACGATCAGAGGCAAAATAATCGTCAGCGGGAGCAGCAGCCGACAATCACCAGCAAAATACAATTTGGAAACGTTAGCGTTTAGCTAGCAATATTTGGAAATTACATATAAAACCGCATATTATAATTCAGATAAAAAGTCCTCGCATTTATTTTATATTGTTCGATTGTACATACAAATACAAATACATACAATCAAAGTTTATAATTTTACATGTTGTCCAAGTTTTTGTTTTGTCGTCGCCTATTTGCCTCTACATTACCTTTCCAAATTTTGCTGTTCTTCAAATAAAGTGATGTCGGCTAGCTGTAAAACAGAGTTATACGAGTTGGAGTTTTTTTTGTAAAGCGGTTCATCGTCAGATCAGTTGGAGTTATTGTAAAGCGGTTCATCGTCATAGCAGTTGGAGTTGTTGTAAAGCGGTTCGTCATCATAGCAGTTAATTTTCGCAAAACGGTTGTACTAATAAAAGCTGGAGTTTTTTTGCAAAGCGGTTTTTTTCATGGTGATTCCAAATAAGGTTTGGGTAAAGTGGCTGGCTGTATCGGTAAGGTTGTACAGTTGCATCAAATCGAAAGTTTTTTGGTTTATGCTTGCGAGAGTGGGGCTTAATAAAAGTTCGACTTTTTAAGGTTCGCTGAATTTACACGTTTGGTGAGCGAATATTATGCCGGGTAGCAATTACAATTTAAGACATCAAGACAGATCGCAACGTGAACAAATGGACGGCGATGGTGGAGTTAATGATGGTGCACAAGGTGGACAATTTTCAGCGATTGTAGCCAGCCTTAACGCTCTAACGAATGCTGTCGCGCAATTGAAGACGGTTACAGAGGAGAGTCAACGTGATATAGAGAGGCTGCGAAATAACATTGAATTAGATGTACATCCAGCGGCAGCAACACAACAGGCAAGTGAAACTACGTCCGAAATTAGGCCAGAACGGTCCGCCCAAAATACATTGGTGGAAGCTAGTGAGTCAGTTAAGAAACTATACGACTTGCCTACGTTTTCGGGTAATACAGAAGAGTGACCGCTCTTCTTGGCTAATTTTAAAGACACGACCGAAGCGTTTCGTTATAGCAACCGGCAGAATTTAATGTGGCTTCACAAGTGCCTGGTGGGCCGTGCGAAAGAAACGGTAGCTTCGATGCTGATATACCCCGAAGACGTGCCAAATGCCATCACGGAGCTTGAGTTTCAATTTGGTCGGCCAGACCTCTTGGTAAGAAGTCAGCTAAGCAAAATTCACCGGTTTCCGAACATAGCTGAAAACAAGGTTGAACAAATTTTATCATTTTCAACAAAAACACGAAATATTGTTGCGTTCTAACTTCAGCAAAATGTGAGCACCACCTAAATAATACTACACTTTTAGAGCAACTTGTAACCAAGCTACCACCCAGCAAGCAGTATGAGTGGACCAGGCGTGCAGTGAATATAAAGCCGTACGCTACAATTAAATAATTTTCACAGTGGTTAAGTGCCCTTGCCCGAGTTGTCTGCCTAATGCCCCCGTCAACCGCAGTTATGAGAAGTCAGCAGCTAACGCCACATCAACAGCCATCTCGTCGTGTAATGTTAGTCGGAAGTGAGCGTCAACAGGATCACGTAGCCAGTTTTAAGTGTTATGTGTGCGATGGGGCACACTCGATTAGAGATTGTCAAACTTTCAATGAGTCAATGAGTGTTCGTGATCGTTGGGAAAAGGTGAAATCCCGCAGCTTTGTTTCTTGTGCCTGCGTAAAGGACACAACACATCTAACTGCCGTTCAAAAAAGTTTTGTGACGTTAACGCCTGCCGCCGCTATCATTATCGAAGTTTACATGAAGCCTCGAGTTCAAGTTCTGCGCCGTCCGCAGCACAAAGTCGCGCTGCAACTCAGCCTGTACTTAATTGCAGAGAAGCCAAACATCGAAATAGCCAGTTTTTTAAACATGTGCCAGTATCGCTATTCGGACCGAACGGTAAAGAAGATTTGTATGCCATGGTTGATGAAGGATCAGCTATATCACTACTAGAAGATAGCGTAGCCACAAGATTGGGTCTCAAAGGACGTAAGCAGCCCCTGACTTTACAATGGTATGGACAAAAGTGTACGACTGAAGAGTCGCCAAAAGTGACTGTTGAAATACAGGGCAGATGTACAACAGCGACGTACACGCTACATAATATTTGCACTATTCGTAACCTCGATTTACCAGAACAGTCCTTCCGTAAAGCAGATTATAGCCATTTGAAGATTTTGCCATTAGAGGATTATCATCAAGTCAAACCATCGTTGCTGTTAGGTTTAGACAATATGTATTTAAGTGTGCCGTCCACAACAGTACAAGCTGGCAGCGGAAACCCAGTAGCCATTAATACAAAGCTGGGTTGGATAGCCTACGGTTCAACCCGATCGCCAATTACAACGCCTGTGGTACTACATATTCGAGAAAAGAACAACTTGGACTCGCTACATGAACTGGTTGCAGAATATTTCGCCGCTGATAACTTTGGTGTCAACAATGAGTCAACGAAGCAACTAGAGTCAGAAGACAATCAACACGCTCGTAAGAGGCTGGAAGCTAACACACGTCTCATCGGTAAGCGCTTTGAAACCGGTTTACTGTGGAAAAGTGTTCCACCAGCACTTCCGAACAGCTTTGCTATGGCTTTCAAACGACTGTTGGGTATTGAGAAGAAAATGCGCCTAGATGAAGGGTTTTCCGCCAAGTACAAAGAAGAAATTGCTAAATATATACAAAATGGTTACGCCAGAAAACTTTCCAGACGAAGTAGGTATGCAGTCATGTTTCAATTGGTATTTGCGCTTTTGCAAGGAGGTTAAATTCGTCCACGCCGAAGGAGGTTTTCAGCTTCGATCTTTCGTATCCAATATCAAAGAACTTGAAATCAGCTTGAATACCGACGCCGAAGCCGTATCCCACCACGTAAATTTAGAATGCCAAAGTAGTTGCGAAAAGGTGTTGGGAATGTATTGGAATACCCCGACCGATTCGTTTGAGTTCAAGTTCAAATTTCAGCGCATTCCAAAGTCAGTACTAGAAGGTGTACGCGTACCTACGAAACGCGAACTTTTGAGCATCGTAATGTCAGTTTTTGATCCGTCGGTATTCTCGCCGATTTCCTGTTATTCGCCAAGATACTGATTCAAGAGGTGTGGAAGAGTTGCATCGAATGGGACGAAATATTGCCATATCAACTTCAACATAAATGGTTTGCCTGGTGGGGTGAATTTAAACGCATCAACGAGGTCAAGGTGAACCGCTACTACTGCAGTCGCCAACATCAGTTCAGCTTCACATAATTGTAGACGCCAGTCAAGTTGCATTTGCCGCAGCTGGGTATTTTCGTATTGCCAGAGCACAAAATATCGACGTTGCCTTTATTGCCGGTAAAACCAGGTGTGCACCTCAGAAGCTCCTCTCGGTGCCCAGACTGGAATTGCAAGCTGATGTACTGGGTGTTCAACTTGCCAAAGTCATTGGTCAAGGTCATAGTATTCAACCAGAAGAAGTCACGTTCTGGACAGATTCGCAAACGCTGTTACAATGGGTGAATTCAAGAGACAGAAAGTTTAAGCCATACGTTGGTCATCGCATAATAAAAAATTTTGTCATCGTTGAATCCTTCTCAATTGCGCTGGGTACCTACAGATAAAAACACGACCGACATCGCTACTCGTCCAATATGGCCACCTAAAGCCGAAAAATACAGCCCATGGTTAAGAGGTCCGGATTTCCTGCGGGATCCAGTCGAGCATTGGCCACCTACGCTTTGCAGCCCCATGCCAGTTCAGCTTGAGGAGGAAGTGCAGCCGTGTCTTGTTGCACTTGCGGAGGTAAAAGATTCACTACTACAATTTAATCGATTTTCTTCTTTCTTCAAGTTGAGACGGGTGATGGCATTGGTTTATCAAGCCGTAAACAAGTTTCTACGTCGTGGGCACGAAAACAACAACGCCTCAGCACTGACCGTCTCCGAACTTGAGAAAGCCGAAAAGTATATAATCAGAGAAGTCTAGCACAAAGTTTACGCCGAAGAGTTCGCCGAACTTGAGAAATGGAAACACGTTCCTAAACATAGTACTATTCGTGCATTATCGCCGTACATTGACAATGAAGGTGTTATGAGGTTGCGGGGGCGCATAGACGAGGCTACATGTCTGCCGAAAGAAGCTAGGAGACCGATGCCGTCGAAACACATCGTCTCACAGCTTATTATGCGCCAATACCACCAACAGTATCACCACCAGAATGTTGCAGTAATTTTAAGTGAGGTTTGTCAGAAATATTGGTTTTCACACGCTAAGTCCCTATTGAAAGTCGTACAACGAAGTTGTTCACAATGCCGAATTGACAGAGCCACACCTAAACCACCATTAATGAGTCAGTTGCCTGAAGACCGAATTACACCATACGTCAGGCCCTTTGCGTCAACGTAGCGATAGGGCGCCGAAGAGAGAAGCGTGCCTCACCATAAGGGCGGCTCATCTAGAACTTGCGCACGACTTGTCAACAGATGCTTTCCTAATATGCTTACGCAATTTTGTAAACCGCCGCGGAACTCCGGTACGTATCACAAGCGATAATGGTACAAATTTCATAGGCGCCCAGTGGGAGCTGAAAGCGCCAGAACGTATTTAAGATTTCGAACGTATTTTGAGTGATGTATCCAAGCGCGGTATAGACTGGAAGTTCAATTGTCCTTCTAATCCAAGTTCTGGAGACTGTTGGGAGCGACTAATTCACATAGTGAAACGACGCTAACAGAAGTACCATTGTCATCGGAAGAAGACGATCCGATAACCCCGAATCATTTTCTGTTGGGGTGCTCAAATTCGACGCAAACTCCGCAACCAGTAGATGGAAAATTATGCCTAAGAAAACAATGGCGCATAGCTCAAAGCCTAAAAGACAGATTTTGGAAACAGTGGATACGGCATTATTTACCACAATTGCTCTTGCGTCAAAAATGGCAGGAAGAAGTGGAGCCCCTAAAAGTGAATGACTTGGTGTTAATATGTGACACCATGCAGCCACGTAGCCAGTGGCAAAAAGGTCCAGTTACTCGAGTATTCCCCGCCAAAGATGGTCAGATCCGTTTCGCCGAAGTTAAAACCGCTGGAGGGGTTAGGTTAGGTAAGGTGGCAGCCCCTTGTAACCGGAGCTCACTAAGACAATGTAAGATTGTCCTTTGTGATACCACAATTTGGAAAGGCCCCCTAAACTTTATCGTTAAAACGCTCCGAGCCGATTATGTATTTACTAATACGGCTGATCTCAATGCACCAGAGCTCCTCGGGGCTGTTTAGAAAGTGAGAGCCAAAGTACTTCAACCTTAGCCTCGCAAACGCTGGGCACCTAAGAAGGTAGTGTTGAGGTGATTCTACCTCGTCATCTTCCAGGCAACAGCGACATAAAGGGTCCGGCAGAATGTTCAGCCTAACTGCGTGGATACCGATAGGACAGTGACCCGTTAAAACCCCCACCAGAAGTGATAGCTGTGGCTTTGTGAGTGTGAGGAGTGCCCTCGATCGCCCCCGGTCCACACTCGGCCAAAAGGACCTTGCGATCGCACATGTCATGGTATTCGCCCAGCGTTCGCTGAGCTGACATGAGGCCCATTTATCCAAGAGCGAACCGCAAGCGATCAATGGCACCCCCAGCCGCTCTTTATTAGGTAGTAACGTTTCACGGGTTCCTTCCCTCGCCAGCTCGTCAGCCACGCAGTTCCCCCCAATGTCGCTGTGTCCCGGAACCCAAATAAGCCTAATGCG